CACTCCCCTCCGCTCCTCTCCCCTCCCCTCCCCTCCCCTCCCCTCTCTCCCCCCGCCCTCCCCCTCCCCGTTCCTCCTTCCCCGCTCCCCAGCTCCCCCCTCCCTCCTGCCCCTCCCCCCCCCTCCCCTCCTGTAGCGCCCCCTTCCCTCTCGTCCTCGTCCTCGTCGTCGTCCTCATCCGTTCCTGTTCCTTACAACTGATAACCTCGTAAATAGCTTCTTTCCTTGTAGATGACTCCTCCCTGTCGCACCCCGAGGCCGGTAGAAAAGGCGGGCCAGGCGTTTCGCCTGAGACTTCCTCACCACTTACGTATCATCCTGCAGCTTCAGAACTGGCAGTAGTTCCACGGACGGAAGACGGGTGGCTTTCAAGCTCTGGCGCTCGCCTTAGCGCCGCGCGCATTCGTTTAGCAAAATTGCAAGAGCTTCGCGGATCGAGGGCGGGCCGTTTTCAAAATGTGGCTCTCGCCTTAGCGCCGCGCACAGTCGCCCTCAACATACAATAATCTCACGGATTGAGGGCGGCTCCTTTTCAAACTGTGGCTCTCGCCTTAGCGCCGTGCGCATTCGTTCAACACAATTTTCAAAACAACCACGGATTCGCATAACTAGCGATGGAGCGATTCAGGATTGTCAAGGCACAACAGTTACGTTGATTCGCGGTGTTGACATTCCAAGAATGGTGTTCTGGCGCTGTTCCAGATCTTCAAAGCGCAACAATCCGGCTCACTCGTGGCTCTGGAATCCCGAAAACGGTGTTTTGGCGCGCGTAAGGATCTTCAAACGGTTGTCTCCTAACGGGACGCTTCCCTCAGCGGAAATGAACTCTTGTAGGGGCTTGTGAAGGGGAGTTTGAAGGGAGGGTTGATTCCAACATTGTTGATGAGTCTTGGGTTTGCACTGGTCCTCCTCCTCCTCCTCCTCCTGCTGCTGCTGTTCCTCGATCCTTTCTGCGCTCTGCTTTTGGCCCCGTCATGCCCAGCACCGTGTCGTCGAGAGGTGAGTGATGTGCCCTGGCAGGTGGGGGGTCTCCCTCCCGTGGCCCGTCCCCTCCTCCCTGGGCAGGACGCTGGCGTGATGTTGCCTGGAGGCCATCCACGAGGCTCTGGCCAAGTGGGCGCTCTCCGAGGCCCCGCCTCCGCGGGGCCCGCAGTCTGCCTCCTCTCTACCAGCCAGCCTCCTCTCCCCTTTCTCCTCCACCCTTCCCTCCTCTTCCTCTTCCTTCCGTCTCCTCCTCCTCCGCCTCCTGGAAGAGGACGCCTCGGGAAAGAGATGGGGGAGGAGGACGGAGGCGTAGGAGGAGGAGGAGGAGGAGGAGGAGGAGGAGGAGGAGGAGGAGGAGGAGGAGGAGGAGGAGGAGCAGGAGCAGGAGGAGCAGGAGGTGGAGGAAGGCGACGACGCCGACCTCTCCTCCCCTCGCCCGCGGGAGGGCTCTGCGCGCCGCCACCAGAGCAGACGAACGGCAACGTCGGCTGGTCCAGTGCTCCCCCGTGAGGCGCCTGCCGCTGCGGCCGGCGGAGGCCGCCCAAGGCCCCGCTGCTCCTCGTCGTCCTCGTCCTCGTCATCGTCCGCCTCCTGCTCCTCCTCTGGCTGCTTCCTCCTCCCTTTCCCCCTCCTTGTCCTCCCTCTTCCTGCTTCCCTCCCCCCCTCTCCTCTTCCTTCTCCTCCTCCCCGCCTCTCCTCGTCCTTCTCAATCCCTCTTCCTCATGATCAACTCCGCCTCGTCGCACAACCTGGTCAAGCGTTCGCCTGACACTTACTGACAACTTATGGATCTTAAACTCGAACCTCACATTTGGAGCGCAGGCCGTTTCCAACATGCGGGTTTCGTGTTAGCGCCGCGCACCTTTGTCTTAAACGTTTGCAGTAATTGCGCAGAAAAAAAGGCCGAGTGGGTTTGACTATGTAGCTTTGACCTCAACACCACGCACATTCGTACGACAGTTTGCACCAATTCTGCAAAGAGAGGGCGGGCTGTTTTCAACAGAAATGTGGCTACCGCCTCAGTCCCGCGCACACTCGTGTTTATTCGTTTGTATCAGTTTCTCACCACGGATGGAGGGCGGGTGCTTTCCAACATGGGGCCCTCGCTTGGTAGCCCTGGGGTGTCTTGGCCCACAGCTAAAGCATGTGTTCGAGTTGCGCGGATCATCGTGCGTATGAGCTTTGAAACAGCAACTTATTGCGACCTGGACGCGGCAGTGACGACGGACGGAGGGTGGCCTCTTTTGAACATGGGACGCTTGCTTGAGACCTGCCTATGTTTATGTTCCGAAGCATTGTCAGGTGCGACAGTCATGCGGGTGGAGGGCGGCTCCTGTCAGTGAGGCTCTCGCTTGACAGTGACTTGCCCTTTAACTTGCATCTGGACGTTTCTGTTGCCTACATGGATGGCGCAGGTCGATTCCTTTTCAAAACGCGGCTCCAGCCTGCATTGCACGCCCATAGGGCGCTCGTCTAGGAGCGCTCGCTGCAATGAAAAACGACTACTTGTCGGACTTGATGCGGGTGGTCTTACAGCATCGTTGATGTGCCCTGGGTCTGCTCTGGTCCTCCTCCCCACGCCAGACAGCACGAACCCAAAGACACCGTCGTGGTCGCCATTGCCGCCGCCGTGGTCGTCGTGGCCTCCTCTCGCCCCCTCGGCTACACGCCATAGTGACCCTGGGCAAGAGTGACCTTCGGTGCGCGACCTGAGGGGCCGCAGGGGGGCCGAATACCGGCGCGCGGGCCAGTGCCGGGGGGATCCCTGTGGACCTGCTCCAAAAAGGCCACCCTGGCGAAGGGCCACCCTTGCGCGCAACCAGCCCTCGTCATCGTCTTCGCCGTCGCCGTCCTCGTCGGCCAGCGCCGTGGCCTCCTCCAGGTCGCCTCACTTCGCACGTCGCGCCCCGCGATGCGCGACTCGCGGTTAACTTCGCGCCCTTGCGCCGCCGCCCTGGGAGAGGGCGCCCCGCCAAAACCAAGCAGCGACGCTCGAAGCGCAATTACCTTCCCGCCCCTGGAGGTGACCTGGCCACCCTCTCTCGGCTACACGCAAGAGTGGCCCTGGGCATGAGTGACCTTTGTAGGAAGCCCCCGAAAGACGTACGCGCCCACCCACGCACATGAACACGTGCACCCAATCCGCGAGACCCGCCGCGTGATACGAACGTTCGCGCAATGCGTACTCTCGAAACCAACGTGGATTCATGTACCCATCGGTCGGAAGAAGTAGGTAGAAACATGAGGCAGGAAGGCGTTGAACATAGTTTGGGTGTCCGCCCGCCTCCTAAAGAGGACGGTAAAAGGTGAAGCCACTCGATCATTGAAGTAGGAAGGCGCTTAAAGTAGATCGGAATACGGGACTTCAAAAATACATACCTTCAACGACCGATAGGTATGTGTACGTCCTTCTTTCGATCCTGACTTTGATGCGCGGCTTGCCGTCAGCGGAGCGCGATGCGGCAACAAAGGTCTGCGTGCTTGGGCTTGAACCCCGCGCCCCCCGGAAAACCGCGCACCAAAGCTTCCTCCGGCGAAGGATCGGCAGAAAAAACCGAAGGCAAGCAGAAAAACCGTTTCCGGGAGGGGGGGCACGATTTGTCCGCCCTCCTCTGTGCAGAGTCCCGGCAAGAGGAATCGGCAAGCATCCAATACAGGGGGATTGTTGATAGCCTAACGTGACGGGTCCTGGAAACCCTGAATCAAAAGACCTGCCCACCTCTCGGAGACGCATCTTTGACTTCCGCCAACTTCCGCTGGCGGAGCCACCCCCGTTCTGCTTCCGCCAGCTTCCGCCGACCTGCCGTCGGGGAAGCGGTGGCAGATCCTTCCATCTCTGACCTCTCATGAAGACGGGGCCCCTTCGAGTATGGCTGACTCCCCCGCGCGCGCACGGGCCAGGCAGCCTCTGCGGCCGCCGGCGCGGGCGCCGTGGCCTCCGTGGCCGCCGGCGTCGGCGGCGCGCGGCAGCCCGTGGAGGCCAGCGGGCACGCGCCGCACGCGGGGCAGAGCTGCAGGACGGCCCCGAGCGCAGCCGCGCCTCGGCAGGACGACGAACGACGACAGACGACGGACAGCGGATGACGATGATGACAACATGGGCGACGACGACGATAACGACGACGAGCGACGACGATGAATGACGAATCACGAACGACGAACGATGCCTATGGCGACGACAGACGACGAACGACGACGACGAACGACGAAGGACGAACGATTACGACGACGACGAACAACGAACGACGACGACGACCGACGACGACGACAGACGACGACGACGACGATAGACGACGACGAACGACGACCGACGACGACGAAGGATGAACGACGCACGACGACGACGACGAACAACAAACGACGAACGATTACGACGGCAAAAGACGACGAACGACGACGACCACGAGCGACGAGCGACGGACGACGAACGATGGCGACGCCCGAATATGAGCGACGAACGACCAAGTGCGAACGACGAACTACGTCGACGACGACCGACGACCGGCGAACGACGAACGACAACAGACGACGACGATGACGACGACGAACGACGACCAACGGCAGTCGACGAGCGACGAACGACGACCGACGACGACCGACGAACGACGACCGACGACGACGACGAACAAAGAATGGCAAACAGTAACGACGACGAACGACGAACGACGACGACGAAGAGCGATGACGAACGACAAAGGATGAGCGACGACGACGACCGACGACTACGACGACGACAACGGACGACGACGACGATGAGGACGGTCGACGAACGACGACAAATACGATGGCGAACGACGACGACGAGTGACGAACGACGAACGACGGCCGACGACGACGACGACGAACGACGAACACGATGGCGACAACGACGACGAACGATGACGACGATGACGACGACGAACGACAGCGACGCCGCCGACGACGAACGACGATCGACGAACACGATCATGTCGGCGACGAACGACGACGAACGACGAACGACGATGACGACGCCGAACGCCGAACGACGAGCGACGGAGACGACGACGATAAACGACGAATGACGACGACGAACGACGACGACGATGACCACCACGATGACGACGGATGGCGGCGACGACTGCAAACGACGACGACGATAACGACGGACGACAAACGGCGACCGACGACGACTACTAACGACGACGACGAACGACGACGACGTCCAAGAAGAACGACTACGATGACGACCGGCGACGGCGACGAGGACGACGACGGATCCAAGCGCGATCGCGCCACGGCAGAAAGAGGGGTGCGGGGGCGCACGACGAACGAGGAATGAAGACGAGCGCGATGACGAAGACGATGACGACGACGAAGACGACGAACGACGAACGACGACGACGAATGACGACGACGAACGATGAACGACGACGACGACGACGACGAACGACGAGAACACCGACTAACGACGAACGAAGACGCCGACGACGACGAACGACGACTACGACGACTACGACAACGAGGACGACGACGAACGACGACGAAAAACCGCGAATGACGATGAAGACGACGTTGACGAACGACGAAATACGAACTCGTCGACGACGAACGACGACGACGACGACCACGAACGACGACCAACGAACGACGACAAACGACGAACGGCGACAACCACGACGACGACGAACGACGACGACAAACGACGAACGAGGACGACGACGATAACGACGGTGACGACGGACGACGGCAACGACAACCACGACGATGGCTCTCAGCGCGTTCTCGCCTCGGCAAGGAAGGGGGGGGGGGAGGGGCGAACGACGAATGACGAACGACGACAACAACGAACGACGGACGACGAACGACGATCGACGAGGATGCCGACAACAATTACAACGGATGACGTTGACGATGGCAAACGACGACGACGATGAACGAGGGACGACGACGAATTAAGAACGACGAGCCACTAACGAGGACGACGATGGCGACGACGATGACGACGGACGACAGACGACGGACAACGGACGACGATGACGACGACGACGACGACGGCTCCGAGCTTGCTCGCGCCACGGCAGAGAGCGACGAATGACGACGACGAACGATGACGACGACGAACGTCGGACGACGACGTCGAACGCCGAATGGCGAAAGACGACGACGATGACGACAGATGGCGACGGCTTCGAGCGCGGTCTCGCCTCGGCAGGGAGGGGGAGCGTGGGTGGCGGGGCGAACGACGAACGGCGACGACGACGACCAACGAACGACGACCCACGACAACGATGACGACGGGTGACGACGACGGCGACAACGACGACGACATCGAACGACGAACGACGACCTCAGACGACGACGAACGACGGCGTCGACGAACGACAAACAACGAACGACGCCGACGACGATGACGTCGACGACGGGGGCGACGGATGAAGACGACGACGAACGACAACGGCTCCGAGCGCGGTCGCGCCGCGGCGGGGAGGGGTGAGGGGGGAGCGAAAAACAAGCAACGAATGCCAACGACAACCGACCAAAGACGAACGCTGACGATGACGATGACGACAGATGACGACGGATGACGACAACGAGCGACGCCGACGACCGACAAACCACGAACGACGACGACGAACGACGACGACGACTACGACGACGAACGGCGCACAACGACGACGATGACGACAGCCGACGGCGAAAACGAACGACGACGAACGAACGACGACGACGATGCCACGATCGACGACGAACCACGACGACGACCACGACGACGACGGGCGACGAACAACGAATGACGAACGACGACGGCGATGACGACGGACGACGACGACAACGACGACGACGGCTCCGAGCGTGGTCGCGCCTCCACAGGAAGGGGTGGAGGGGGCGAACGACGACCGAAGAACGACGACGACGACGAACGACGAACGACGACGATGATGACGACGATGGCGACGGACGGGAAACGACAACGACGAACGACGCGACGAACGACCGCGACGACAAACGACGAACGACGGGCGACAACGACGATGACGACGACGACGACCGACGACGACGACGATGACGACGACGACGGCTCCGAGCGCGGTCGCGCCACGGCAGGGGAGGGAGCAAGCGACGAACGACGAACGACGACGACGAACGACGACGACGACGACGAACGATGACGACGACGAATGACGAACGACGACGTCGACGACGATGGCGACGAGGACGACGACGACGACGACGACGACGGCTCCGAGCAAGGTAGCGCCTCGAAAGGAATGGGGGGGGTCGAACGACGAACGACATACGACGACGACGACAAACGAACAACGATCGACGAAAGACGACGATGAAGACGACGAACGACGAATGACGAACGACGACGACCGACGACTACGACGACGAACGACGAACGACAGCGAGACGATGACGATGATGACGACGGACGGCGACGACGACGACGAACGACGACGAACGACGACGAAAGACGAACGACGAACCGCGACGACGGCGAACGACGACGACGACGAACGACGAACGACGACGATCGACGACGACGACGACGATGACGAAGGACGACGACGAACGACGACGACGACGGCTCTGAGCGCGGTCGCGCCTCGGAGGGGGGGGGGGCGAAGGATTAACGACGACGAACGACGACGAACGACGAACGACGAACGACGGCAACGATGATGACGACAAACGACGAACGACGAGGACGATGAGGATGATGACGACGGACGGCGACGACGAACGACGACGAACGACGACGACGAACGACGACAAACGACAACCATGAACGACGAACAATGAACCGATCGACGACGACGACGATGACGGCAGACGACGACGATGAAAACGACGACGACGACGACGACGGCTCTGAGCGCGGTCGCGCTTCGGCAGGAATGGGGGGGGGCGAAGGACGAAGGACAAACGACGACGACGAACGACAAACGAACGACGACGAACTACGAACGACGACCATCGACGAACGACGACGACGAACAATGACGACGACGGCGAACGACGAACAACGAACGACCAACGAAGACGAAGACGACGACGACGACGGACGACGACGATGATAGACGACGACGGCGAATGACGAATGACAAACGCCAACTACGACGAACGACCACGACGACGACGACGACGGCGGACGACTAAAAGCAAACTACGACGACGGTGACGACGATGAAGACGATGATGACGGACGACGACGGCGACGACGACGACGACGACGGCGTCGACTACGACGGCTCCGAGCGCGGTCGCGACGCGGCAGGGATGGGTGGGTCAAACGACGAACGACGAACGACGACGATGATGACTACGGATGACGACGACGACGATGACGACGGATGACGATGACGAACGACGAACAACGAACGACGAACGACGAACGATGGACGACGACGACGAACGACGACGACGACGAGTACGACGACGAACGACGAACGACGAAGACGAACGACAACGACGAGAACGACGATGGCGGTGACGACGACCACAGATGATAACGACGACGACGAAGGCTCCGAGCGCGGTCGCGCCTCGGCAGGGAGAGGGAGGGCCATGCCTGGGTGGGCATGGCTGGCTTCGAGGCCTTCGGAAATTTTCGTCGGCTCCTTGATGCTTTGCGCCCGGGATGCTGTCCCGTAACTTCGGGGGCGGCCAAGAGGGGAGCGTCCAAGAGGGGGGGAGCGCAAATCATGGCTATCATGGCTGGCGGCATGTGCGCGGCCCGGGGGGGGGAGGCGGGGACGTAATGAAACAAGAAGAGGCGCCATGAAATCAGGGGAAATATCATCGCCCACGCCATGATATCCCCCCCCCCCCGTAGTCATCACCCCCCTCTGTGCCGCCCCCGATAACTGCGCCTCGCCGAGAGCGTTCCAACGGTGCCCGCCTCGCCACGAACGGCCACGGGAGGCCCGATGCGTGGCCCCAAAGCCGCTCGGCAGGCTCGTGACGTGGCGACGTGGGCGCTGGCTTCTGACACAGCGTGGACCGTTCAGCCTTGCGCGATCGCGGCTTTACGACAGCGCAGACTTCTCGATGTCGGTCGATTTGCGGCCACCGGCGGCCTTCGATCTCGAACGCCCGCGCCGGTGTCGCCGCCGCGTCGGCACCACACGGCCCTTCTGTCCCTGTGAGCACGGATGTGGGCATCTCTCTGCACTTCGGCAGGTCCGAGCGTGCAGAAGCAGCGCCCAGGCGAGCACCGCGGAAGCCCTGGAGGCGTCGAGCACCGCCCGTGCCCCGCGAGCACCTGCGGCTCCTCTGGCTCGGGAGGGCCACTGCGCCGCGGCGCGCCCCGCCCGCTCCGTCGTCCCAGAGCGGCCGGGCGCGCGCGCGCGCGGAGGCGACCCTGGCACCGAGGAGCCCCCAGGGGCCGCCGGGGACGCCCTGTGGCCCCGAGCGGCCGCCGACGGGGCCCAGAGGTCCAGGCTCGTCGCCAAGGGGGATCACCGCCAGGGGCTCGCCACCTCCTCGAGAAGAGGCCCTCGGGAACCAGGAGCCCTCCTCGGTCCTCGCGGACCCCATCCCTCCCCATCCCGCGTCCTTCGCCCTGCTCCCCCACCCTTCCCGCCTCCCTGCCCTGCGCCCGCGGTGCGACCGAGCGCCGCGCAAGGGCCGCGCCGCGCGGCGAACTCGGAGTCGGCCGCCTGCCACGGGCCACGGCCGCAGGAGCGCGCGCACGGGCGGGCGGGACGGACGGGGGGGGGCGGAGGGGAGAGGGGGCCCAGACTGACTGGCGGAGGCGCCGAACTCGCCCAACTGCTTGACGTGAGAGAAGCGGGTCCTGCGAGGAAGACGGGCCCTGGGCTCTTGGCCGCTCTTGGTTGCGGCCAGCCCCTGGTGCCGCCAGGGAGCGGCTCGGGATGACGAGCTGGCCCTGGCGGCCTGGCCCCCCCCCGCCCTGCCCGCTCTTGCCGCCGAGCCTCGAGGATGGTCGGCGGCGTGCGCGCGCGGGGGGCCGCCATCTGAGACGGTGTGTGTGTGTGTGTGTGTGTGTGTGTGTGTATGTGTGTGTGTGTGTGTGTGCGTGCGTGTGCGTGCGTGCGTGCGTGCGTGCGTGCGTGCGTGCGTGCGTGCGTGTGCGTGCGTGCGTGTGTGTGTGTGTGTGTGTGTGTGTGTGTGTGTGGTGTGGACTTTTTTGGAGGGCAGAGAATCCACCCCGATAAGAATCACCCCGACAAGCGAAGCCGTTTCGTAAACGCGCCCACAAGAAGGAATCGAACAGGGCAGGGCTGTTTCGTAAACGCCCGGGGCCGTTCAGTAAACGCCAGTTGTCCAGTCGGGGTGGTTTTTCCTCCCTTGATTTTTGGATGATGATGATGATGATGATGATGATGATGATGATGATGATGATGATGATGATGATGATGATGATGAGGATAAGGATGAAGATGATGATGAGGAGGAGGATGAGGATGAGGATGATGAGGAGGATGAGGAGAAGGATCAGGTATCGGAAATCTCACCGGCGAAGTTGACCCTCATTTTTGGAAGGCAGCTGCCTGCACGGAAGCTCTCCCGGCTTCCAAGGCGCCTCCTCGGGAGCATCCGGGCGCTTCTCAGAAGGCCCCTACCCTCCGAGAAGCCCCCCCCCCCGCCGTCTTAGGAGGCCGCCCCCCCGCACCCAGCGCTCCGCCAGGATCGAGGGGGGCAGATCCTGACAGACTCGGCATGGATGCTGCACGCTTGTGGATCTCTCTAAACAAAAATTGTACGCTTGTGGATCTCTTTGTGCCTCTGGAGGCCCCTGGGGACGTGGGGCGTGGCTCCATGGGAGGGTCATGAATGGGGGGGTCAGAAACGGCCCGCTTTCGTGCCCCTTTCGGGCCCCTCCGGTGCCTCAGGGGGCTCGGTTAGGTACCGTTTGGGTGCCTTTTCGGACCACCCTCGTCTCCCCCCCCCCCCCCCCATTTGTGACCCCCCCATTACGCAACGCCCAAGGACGTCCTGGGGGTCAGGATCCGGGGCGGGACAAAGACTTACCCTCCCTCCCGGTGTTCTCCAGGCCGCCCAACTTCGCGCCCCGCGAAGCGTGAGACGCGCCGCTCTTCGCGTCCCCGCGCCGCTCCCACGGAGAAGGGCGGCCCTCTGGTCCAGAGTGCGGAGGGGTTATACATTCGCGACCCCGCGTGTGACCCACCCCCGCCTGCAGAAGTAATGCAACTTCTCCTTGTCCCCAGGAACCCTCCGGGGCCCGCCAGAGCAGAGCACCAGCAAAACGCCCTCAGACCGCTCCCCAAAAAGCGCTTGGAAACCTCGATCGTCGACGACGATGGCGGATTTCGTCGATCGTCGACGACGACGCCGAAAATTGCATCACTTTTGCAGCCCCTTGTGGATGCATCTCAGGTAATGCTTTTTGTGGCGTCGTCAGAGACGAGCACAACATGCCACTGGCGCTCAGTCCGCCACTGCCGCCGACCTCCTGGCCAGGTACACGACGCAGGAAGACAGAGACGAGCACAACATGCCACTGGCGCTCAGTCCGCCACTGCCGCCGACCTCCTGGCCAGGTACACGACGCAGGAAGAGGTGGCGGCGCCCAGGGCGGCGATGCCGATGGCGGCGCCGCTGTCCACGCAGCGTTCCAGCAGCGCGGGCCCCGCCCAAGCGGAAGCCGCAGGTCGGATGGCCAGCGCCTCTTGCCCGGGCGCCGCGGCCGGGTGCGCGGCGGCGTCGCTCGAGTCCAACCGTGGTGGCTCGGAGAGGAAGCCGTCCTGCCTGGCCGCGTCGACGCCACTGGCCAGCCCCGGAAGCACGGCCGACGTCGGCCCGCCCGCCGCCAGTGCTGGCGCGGCGGCGTGCGCAGGGGGCGCGGCTGCGTCGCTCGAGCTTGGCCGCGGCGACTCGGAGCGGAGGCCTCCCGGCGCATGCGCGAGCCCCGCTGCATCGGCCGACTCGGGCCTGCCCGACGCGGCGGGCGCGGGGGGCAGAGCCGGCGCGTCTGCCATCAAGGCTCCCACCTGGCTGGGGTGGCCCTGGTGAACGACCGCGTACTTTTTCTGCAAGCACGAGCGGATGTAGTCGCCAGGAGTCTTCGGTGGGGCCGCGCCACAGTAGCCCGACCTCATGATCCCCTCTCGCGCCTGCACCACTGTAATGTTCAGGCCAGGGCAGTCGCCGTACGCATCCCTCCCCCCCTGCCTCTCGCAAGAATTCCCCTTCTGCATGTGTGACCATGAGCACTTGCCGAGGCTTATGATGTGCTTGTTTATCATGAACATGTCCGACGCTTCTTGGTGCCCTCTCCAGCGGCCCTGGATTTTGCCCGAGTCTCCTCCCTGACGTCCAGGAGCGCCGACGCACTCTAACACATTTTTCTGGCCAGCGCAGCTGTCCCATATATTCAGGACACCCTGGACCAATGCGAGCGTCCCTGAGCTGGCGCGGAAGAACGAGACGCCAGGGTTCAGCGCGCAGTTGTGCTCTACTCGGCCAGGCCCGAAGCAGTCGCAGCCGGCGATCACGTCCGCGGAAGCCCTGGGCTCGCCAACGGAGGAGGGCCCCCCGAGCACGAAGAAGCGCCATATGTCCTGTATCGGGAATGCGTCCAAGTCCAAGTGAATCACGTGCTCGCCAGCCACCAGCCTCTGTTCTATGAAAACGAAGATCCGCCACCGTGCCTCGAGGCAGAAAGTGGAGTGCCCCCTAGGCTTCTGGAGGTCTCTATACTCTGCACTCGGTATTCGAATTTTTCGAATTCGGGGAAAAGGGCCCAAACGCCCAAAATCCAAAATCTTCCCGGCGCTCCCGCGAGCTCCCTGAGTTCCTAGCATGACTTTTCCAGATGCCCGAGGGCCGTCACGACGGGCCAAGAGGGCCCACAGGCAGTCCAAGAGGCCCCCAAGACGCCCCAAGCGGGCTCCAAGAGGCGCTCAAGACGGCCCCGAGATGCCCAAATCATTGGTTTTCCATAGGTTCTTGAAGGAGTATAATGCTCTCGCCATTTCCAGCTTTCGACGCTCCAAGACGGCCCAAGAGGCCCCCAGACGGCCCAAGATGGCTCCAAGACTGCCCAAGAATCCCCCAAGACGACCGAACAGAGCCTCAAAGGGTCACCGAGACCGCTAGTAGGCCCCCAAGACGGCCCCCCACAAGCTCCAGGAGGCCCCCAAGAGGCCCAAATAAGACCCCGAAGGCCCCCGAGACCCCTGAGAACCCCCCAGGACAACCCAAGACCGAATCGAAGAGGCTTCCGAAGAGCCTGACAAGAGATCCCCACAGGCATCCCAGAGGCCTGACCTGCACCCTGGGTACGGTGGTGGGATCGGCCGAAGGCCACTAGATCCGCCGCCCCCCTGTCGATTCATCGCAAGGGTGCCTGGCGTGCTAGATCCTCTCGGTTTTGGTTTTGGTTCTTTTTCCAGAAAAGAACCCCCCCTGGGGCTTCGGCCCGTCCCGCCGGGGTCCCGGGATTTTTTCCAAGGACCTCAATTCTCTACTTTTCTGCCCAAGACGGCTCCAAGATGGCCTCCAAGATGGCCGAGATGGCCCAAGATGGCCTCCAAGATGGTCCAAGATGGCCTCCAAGTCCGCCCAAGATGGTCCAAGACGGCCTCCAAGAAGACCCAAGAGAGTCCAAGACGGCCCCCGACGGGCCAAGAGGCCCCCCAGAGGCCTCCCAGACGGCCCCAGAGGCCTCCAAGAGGTCCTCCAGGAGGGCCCGAAGAGGCCAAAATCATTGATTTTCATAGTTTTTTGAAGGATTTTGGAATTTGCTTCTTCTCGGCATTCCGACGGCTCAAGACGGCCCAAGAGGCCCCCAAGATCGCCCAAGAGGCCCCCAAGAGGGCCCCATGACGGCCCACATGGCCTCCAAGATGGCCCCAAGAGGGCCCCAAGACGGCCCAAGAGGCCTCCAACACGCCCAAGATGGCCTCCAAGACGCCCAAGATGGCCTCCAAGGCGGCCCCGAAGCGCCCCAAGAGGGTCCCCCGTTGGCCCAGAAAGGCTCCCAAGACGGCTCCCGACGGCGTCAGACGTGCAAGGAACCCACCAAGATGGCCGAAGTTGACTCGAAGCTGGCCCAAAAGGACCCAAGCGGCCCCCAAGAGATTTTCTGGATGTTTTTTTTTGTTGTTGACGGATTTGATATTTCCTTCTTTTCGGCCTTCCGACGGCCCGAGACGGCCCAAGAGCCCCCAAAGATCGCCGAAGAGGCCTCCAAGACGGTCAAGATGACCTGCAAGACGCCCACGTGTTCCCCGAAGGCTTTCCAAACCGATTCGGGGAACACATGGTCCGATGGCTTGGCAGGTCTGGCCTCACCGTTCGGCCACATAGGCGCTGGCCAAGATGGCCTCCAAGACGGCTCCCGACGGCGTCAGACGGGCCAGGAGCCCACCAAGATGGCCGAAGTTGGCTCGAAGCTGGCCCAAGACGGCCCAAGAGGCCTCCAAGAGGGCCTCCAGAAAGGCCAGAAAAGGGCAAAAACACTGATTTCCCATGGGTTTTCGGAGGATTCTGACATTTGCTTCGTTTCGGCCTTCCGAAGGCCCGATACGGCCCAAAAGCCCCCAAAGATCGTCCAAGAGGCCTCCAAGATGGCCCCAGAACGGCCCAAGAGGCCCCCAAGACACCCCCAAAAGGCCTCCAAGACGGCCCAGGAGGCTTGTAAGACGCCCAGACGGCCCCGGAGCATTCCAAGAGGGCCCCCAAACGGCTTCCGACGGCGTCGGACGGGCCAGGGGCCCACCAAGACGGCCGAAGATGGCACTAAGATCGCCCAAGACGGCCCCAGAGGCCTCCAAGAGGGCCTCCAGGAAGGCCCGAAAAGGCCAAAATCATTGATTTCCCATGAGTTTTTGAAGGAGTGTGGCATTTGCTTTTTGTTCTGCCTTCCGACGGCCCGAGACGGCCCCAGTGCCCCCAAAGATCGCCCAAGAGGCCCAAGACGGCCCCAAGAGGCCCCCAAGACGGCCCAAGAGGCCTCCAAGACGCTCAAGATGGCCTCCAAGACGGCCCAAGAGCCCTCTAAGACGTCCTCCAAGAAGGCCCGAAAGGGTCCAAATGGCCTCCAGGCGGCCAAGGTGACCTTCAAGATGCCCACGTGTTCCCCGAAGGCTTTCCAAACCGATTCGGGGAACACATGGTCCGGAAGCTTGGCAGGTCTGGCCTCAACGTTCGGCCACATAGGCGCTTCCAAAAAGGCAGGGGGCGGCGGTGATTCGCCGTAGGCGTCTTCGATCCGCCGCCCCCTCTTGGCTTGCCATAGGGGTGCACGACGTGTCGAATGGCTGGCAAAATCTTGGTTTTTTTCCAACCCGTGGGGCTTCGGCCCAGCCCGCCGGCCACCAGGAAAGCCGGGGAAACAGGTCCCTCGTTTCCCAAATCGCCTCCAAGACGGCCAACATGGCCCAAGATTCCCTCCAAGACGGTCAAGATGGCGTCCTGGGGGGGGTCGCCACCCAAATATGTTTTCCTCCCGCGCCCTGGCCCGCTCCGGCCTTGGCCCTGGCCCCCGCTCCGGCCCTGGCCCCAGACCCGGACACGGCCCAGCCCAGGGGGCCACAGCACTGGTCCTGACCCCAGCGCCGAAAGAAAAGGATGTGGACTAGGATTCGGAGGAGAACCAAGAGCAAGAGAGAAACAGAGAGAGAGAGAGACAGAGAGAGAACAAAGAAAACGGACAACGAGGGATAGGGGGAAACGGAAACGCACTCTGGGGCACGCCAAACAAAGCCTGTGACAGGAGGGAACGGATCGGAATGGGCGAACTTGAAACAAAAAAGGACTTGGGGGAAATTCCCTTTTTTCTAAATTGCCCCTGGAGGCCCCCAAAGGCACCCAAAATCGCCCCAAGAGTCCCCCAGAAACTCCAGGGAAGCTCTCGTGAGGCCAACACCATTGCAAAAACTAAGGAACAATACAATGTTCGTGTCCTCGCATTTCCGCTTTCGACGCGCTTCCGAGGCTTGCGCATGCAACCCAACAGAGCTCCAAAATGCCCCCAAGATGCGTTCCGAGCGGTCTCGGGGGCATTTTGGAGCTCTCCTGAGGTTTTCTTGGGAGCTCCTGAAGGACTCTCGGGGCCCTCTTCCGCGCTGGATGGCTCCTGGGGCGCTCCCAGGAGCTCGTTGGGGCCTGCTCGGAGCGTCTTTGGGCCTCGGTGGTGCCTCCTCGGGCGTCCTGGGGAGCCTCTTGTGGCCTCTTGGGGCCACTTCGCGCCAAAGGCCTCTTGGAGCTGTCTTGGGGGGCTTGCGCAAGCCTCGGAAGCGTGCCGGAGGCGGAAGCGCCAGAAAACAGAAAGCCATTGATTTTAATTTGTTTTTTTTTGGGAGACTCTTGGAAACCTCTTGGGGAGATCTTGAATGCTCTTGGGGGGCTCCAAGAGCCGTCGGGGGGCCGGCTTGAACAACCTTGGAGCACTCTTGTGCTGTTGCAGGGGCGCCCTGGGCCGTCTTCAAGCTTTCCCGGGGCTCTCTTGGACGCCTGGGAGTGTGGTATCGGGGATTTGCCGAACATCATCGCGTCCGAGGGGTGGGATGGCTATATATTTACACACACACATCATAACATCACATTTACGTATACTCACACATCTATATGTTTACATGCTATGTGTATATATATATGTATTTGTATGTATATGTTCATGTATACGTATACGTATATGTATAGGTATATGTAGCAGTATATGCAAATATATGTACACGTATAAATATGTTTGTATGTAGGTATATATGTATGTATGCATGCATGTATGTATGCATGTATGTATACATTTAGACATGTGTGTTTATGTCGTTGCACACACATATATATATGTATACATACATATATGTATATGTTTATAATTTTAATATAGAATGATGTTGGGATTCGCATCTTATCGGCCCTCCGACGGCCCAAGAGGCCCCTAGGATCGTTCAAGAGGCTTCTAAGATGGCCCCATGACGGCCCAAGAGGTCTCCAAGATGGTCCAAAGAGATCTCCAAGACGGCCCAAGAGGTCTCCCAGACGCCCAAGATAGCCTCCAAGACGGCCCTGAAACGCCCCTAGAGGGCTCCAAGTCGGTTCAGAGAGGCCCCCAAGACGGCTTCACACAACGTTAGACGGGCCAGGAACGCTCTAAGACGGTCAAAGAGGCCCCAGTCCCCAACGGCCCAAGGTGGACCCCAAGACAAGAGGTCTCCAAGAGGTCCCCAGGAAGCTTCCAGGGTGCCACAGGAGGCTCCCAACAGGCTTCCTCCTCCTCCTCCTCCTCCTCCTATGAAGTTTTCCTCCCTCTCTTCCTCTTCCTTATTCTCCGCCACGAGTTCACCCAAGCGTTTTCACAACAGCTCGGGGAACACAAGGCCCGATAGCTTGTCCAGGCTCTGGGCACAAAGCTCGGCCACATCGGCGCGTCCAGAAGGGCAAGGGGCGGCGGTGGTTCGTCGTAGACATCTTCGATATCTCTTTGGTAATTGTTGGGAGGCCATAGCCTGCGAGGGCTGCCAGTCTTGACCCGTGTGGATTCGGAGTCTGGGCCGTACGAAATTTGGACCCTCCTCACAAACCCTGGGTGGTCCCTGCAAAAACCATCCATCATCGCCTTGCTGCCCTGGTCCATGGCGACCACGTCCAGCGCACCAATCAGCGAATTTGAACTCGCAAAATAAGAAATGAAGCTGGCCCACTCATGTTGATATTTGCTATCGAACAAGACCAGCACCACGGTCCGCGCGGCGTCGCTCGAGTCTAGCCGCGGAGATCTGGAGAGCAGGCCCGCTGGCGAGAGCCCAGCTGGCGTGGCGGCGGGCGCTGGCGCGGCGGCGTGCGCAGGGGGCGCGGCTGCGTCGCTCGAGCTTGGCCGCGGCGACTCGGAGAGGAGGCCTCCCGGCGCATGCGCGAGCCCCGCTGCATCAACGCCCGCAGCCTGTCCTGGTGGCGCGGCCAAGGCGGGCGCTGGGGGCAGAGCCGGCGAGTCTGCCATCAAGGCTCCCACCTGGCTGGGGTGGCCCTGGTGAACGACCGCGTACTTTTTCTGCAAGCACGAGCGGATGTAGTCGCCAGGAGTCTTCGGTGGGGCCGCGCCACAGTAGCCCTTCCTCATGATCCCCTCTCGCGCCTGCACCACCGAAATGTTCAGGCCAGGGCACTCGCCGTACGAATCCTTGGCCCCCTGGTTTTCGCACGTCCCTTTATCGTTTTTGCTCTTCCGGTGCACCCAGGTGCATTTCCCCAGACTTATCCGCCCGCCGTTCAACGACGTGTGGCGTGCAACGGGGCGATTGATGATCGGATGGAGGGTCTTCTTTCAAGCTGGTCTACAGGTTCTGACTGTTTGGTTCAGTAGCCCTTCTACGGCGCCCGACTGGCTTGTACTTGCGCCCGAAAGCAATCTCGAAGATGCAGCTCTCATGGGTGACCCAATGTAATGATGATGTTTCGGCAGCGGGCGCCAAAAAATGGACCGTGCGGGGCTGACCTGGACTGGGCTAGCCCGAGATGTGCTGAGCTGGATTGAACTGGGCTACGCTGGGCTGAACTGATTGAACTGGTCTGAAATAGAAGCCGCAGGACTGAGCTGCACTGAGGTCGGCTTAGCCGATTGGAACTGGACCCAACCAGGCGCTGCAGGACTGATGTGGACCGAACCAAACTGACTTAGGCTGACCTGGGCCGGACTGAATTGGGCGTGGCTGGCACGGCATGAATTGGTCTGACTGGGGGGTCGACTTGGATATTGTTGGAATGATGTGTTCTGGGCTGGGCTCAGCTAGACTGAGCTGAGCTTGGATGGAAATAGTAATAATGAACTTGACCAAGTCCAACTCGGCTGTACCAAGCTGGACTGAGCCTGGCTGAGACGGACTGACCTGGGCTGAACAGGAATCAGGAATGAGATGGGCTGCGGTTGACCGAACGGCTGGGATCCACTGGACTAAGCTGGGGTGGGCTATGTTGAGATAGGCTGAGCTGGAACGAGCAGGACGGAGCTTGACGGGACTGGATTACATTTTACCGGGCTGGGTTGCGTTGAGATCTTCAAATGGCTGAGGCATGCTGAGCTGGGCTGAGAAGGGGCGAAATGCACAGATTCTATCTGAGCAAGGCTGCACGGTTGAGTTGAAGCGAACTAGGCAGAGCTTCGTGAAGTTGGACTAATCTGATCCTAGGTGTTTCTAGTAAGACATCATGGGGCCTATTGCTGGAGTAGCTGCAAGGTATGCCGATTGCCGCTCGGATTTGTCCTCAATCGATCTGCTCAGGAATCTGGCTGCCGCCCCAGATTTCCGCAGCTCTCAATCAGCGGATGTCCACTTTGACTGTGCTTCTACAGCGTGGGACAACAGCCGGTCGGATTCACCCTGGAAGGGGGGGGATAATGGTTGCCGCTCGAGACCGTCTTACAATCTAGTCAGGAATGCGTCTGCCGCCCGACACATCCCCACAATCCAATCAACTGTTGCCCACACCATCTTCATGTTGTACACGAGGAGGCCGACGGCCGCTCGGATCTCCCCCTCTGGGAGAGGGGGCAAAGCTTTGACCCTTGACATTTCTTCGCGATTCAAACACGAATGCGGCTGCCTTTCGAAGATATGTGTGAGGGTGTTGGAGACTGCATGGGCGAACGTGATGGTGTTGATGCGGAGGGTGATAATTAGTATCTTATACGACCACCCTTCGGGTGAAAAGGAGGTTGTGGGGGGGGAGAGGGGGGGAACCAACATCTGACTCAATCGATCTCACTATCGATCTCACTCAACGGGACACCACGGGACACTTGTCGATCTCATTATCGGTCTCACTATCGATCTCACTCAATGGGACACCACGGGCCACCACGGGACACCACGGTGTCCCGATCTTATTATCGATCTCACTCAGCGGGACACCATAGGACACCACGGGAGACCTGGGGACACCGCATCGATCTCACTATCGATCGCACGATCGATCTCACTATCGATCTCACTCAACGGGACACCACGTGACACCTCGGGACACCTGTCGATCTGATCTCACTATCGACCTCACTCAGTGGGACACCACGGGACACCTCGAGACACCTCGCGGTACCAAATCGATCTCAATATCGATCTAACTATCAATCTCACTCAACAGGGCACCACGGGACACCACGGGACACCTGTCGATCTCACTATCGATCTCACTCAACGGGACACCAAGGGACACCTCGGGGCACCACATCGATCTGAGTATCGATCTCACTATCGATCTCACGATCGATCTCACTCAACGGGACACCACGGGACACCACGGGACACCACGAGACACCGGCGGGACACCGCGGGACACCGGCCGCCGGAGGAGAAACATTTGGTCCGGCCGCGGCCCAGCCACAGGAGGATTTCGGGACACCAGCGGGACACCAGCGGGACACCGCGGGCCACCAGCCGCCGGAGGAGAAACATTTGGTCGGGCCACGGCCCAGCCACAGGAGGATGTCCTCTCGCCCGCCCACGCAGCTTCGCCTCGCCCGCACGCACGCACGGCACGCACGACACGAACCCGAAACCGAAATCGATTTCCCGCTAGGGAGGGTCTCCGTTTCACGTCGGACTCACCCCCCAACCTCCGATCAGGGTCATGCTGAGGGCGACAGCTAGGAGATGTATGAGGGTCTCAATGAGGCTTATAGTAGTGAAGAGGGAGGTGTGTATTAGAGCAGGGGTGATCCGATGGAACGCAAACCTCATCCGTGCCCAGGACATCGGAACTTTCAAATCTTGGGCCCTGGAGAGACTTACTTCTGGAATCTAGCAGCCATCGCATGCGATAAAGTGCGTCGAGTGTCCAGAATTGGGTTCTGGGTCGAAGTGCGTCTTCAAGAGCAACCCTCGGTGGCCGGCGGCTCATCGAAGTCTCTCACTTTGAGCTCTGGAAGACTTGCGACTTCCAACTGCAGCGTTTTTGGTATCGTGGCGCATCTCATCATGGGCATCTATTGCCGAGTGTGTCAACATGCCATTAGCGGCGGGTGTGTCCAAATGCACTTGCGCGCAAAACATCGGTGGTAGACCAGTATACTTCTGGGGCGACTGGCGACTTTCAAGATGAGAGTGCCAGCCCCAGCCCCTGCTCCTGAGGGCTTTCCCGGACAGGCCGTTTCCGATCGTGGCCTCCATCGCAAGCGTGCCTCGGACAGACTCCCATGCCTGTATGTGGCGGGCTCTTTTTTTTCGGGTGGAGGGGGCTACTGGGAAATGCTCTTCAAGATCTTGACTCAACGAATTTCTGGGCACGCTGGATCTGAACATGATGACGCATCATCTTTACCTCCGCCGCCTGCTGCTGGTGGACCCGCCGCCGTTTTGGTGCCGCCTCCTTCCGCCGAGGGTGTGCGAGGCGCCAGAAGGCGAGGCCCCCTCTCTGGAGCGCCCCGTCTGCCGCGGGCCCCCCGCCACGAGATGCTCCGAGAAGGCCCCCCTGGCTGGGTGGGGCCCGCCTGGCAGCAGTCTCCGAAAAGCCCTGGGCACTCCGGCGTCGACCTACTTCCGCCGGCCTCGGTCGACCTTCCACCCGTCTCCGCCAGGAGCGTGGTGTCAGCTTCTGGCCCTCGCAGGAGCGCGCCACCTGTGGGGCCCTCGACGCCCTCTCCGGAGCCCTCACGCTCTTTCAACAGAGCTCTGTGCGGCCAGCGCCTTACCTTTTCCGAATCGAGACGGGCCGCCAGTCGACCGCGGTCCCTGGCACTACACTGATAGAGCCTTGCGCTCTCTCTCTCTCTCTCTCTCTTTTTTGTTCTCTCTCTCTCTCTGTCTCTCTCTCTCTCTTTCTCTACAGATGTAGGTCCATCTCTCTGTGTCTATCCCTGCACTGTGTTTTGTGTCTGACTCTCTCTCTCTCTCTCACCATCTTTGTCTCCGTCTCGGAGGAGGATCGATGGAGGAAAATAGAAAACTCATCCTCTCCGGCTTTTGCAAAACGTTTGTTTATTATGACTCGACGGTCCTACTCATCCTCATCCTCTCCGGCTTTTATATAACGTTTGATTATTATGGCTCGACGGTCTTACTCAATCGCCATCGCTGGGTCCTTCCCGTGCCGCCTTTGAGCCTCTGTGATCCGGCGCCTTGTGAAGCACTTGGCAAGGTATTGGGTCGACGCGGTCCAAGGCATTCGCCCTTCCAACAATGATTTTGACCCTGGACCGTGACATTGAGAATCATGCCGAAGCCCTTGAATACGCTCTGCAAAGGATTCGAATGCCACCAGCCCTCTGTGCGTACTAGGTGGTTTAGCCTTCCAGCTCTTCCAACGCCCCTCCTTCCCCCTCGGGGGGAGGGGTCTACCCCTCCCTCGGCCCCACGTTGCAACACTTCATCCCTTGCCTGTGGACGGGCTGTGGCTGGAAAATTTTGCGCGGGCCGCCACTGGCAAACCGAGGAGAGAAGGGCGAGGCACATTTGAACATCCTTTTTAAGCGGAACCTGGGAATTGAAATGGACAGCTAACAGACTGAACCGCCTGACATGCTGAATGTTTTTGTAATCTCGGGGCAATCCTGAGGAAACTCCGTGGCCATGTTGTGCCGTCTTGTGGCGGTCTGGAGGCTGCTTGGAGGCTTAGTGGAAGGCATCTTGGACCATCGCGTGCCATGTTCGTGGCTATCTTGGAGACAACCTCGGTTCACACTCTAATATGGAAAGTCCGCCCCTGTGTCGGGCCAGAGGGGGAGGCTTACGGGGCAGAATCCATTTGCACCCAAGATGGCGCTAGATACTTCAAGGTGGTTCCAACATATCGCAGGATAGCCAGAGTTGTATCGACATCGTTTCCATCATGCTCCCAAGAGGCCCTGATATGTGTCCATGACGACCCGATCGCTTCGTGAGGCCAGCATTTTTCAAGCATCTCGCCTTTTCGCTTCTGATTGACTTCTCAGGCCTCATGGTGGTCCTAAGTCCGAAGGTCGCGTATGGGAGCCCCAGGAGAGGCCCAGCATACCCCAAGATGAACCCCAAACCCCCCAAACAATAACTCGAGAACGCCCCATGAGAGCACCCACGGGCATACCTTCAGATTCCGCCAGGTGGGCCTGGTCCAACACGCAACTGTTTTCTCCCTATCCTAATGATGGGATTCTTGCCATATCCTAAAGATGGGCTTCTTAATATTACTCCGACCGCGCCGAGCACGCACGAACGAACACCCTCCTCTTCCTCCTCCTCTTCCTCACGAAACAAATATGATGCGATGATGCGGGCGATGCTGA